GGAAAGGAAAGGAAAGGAAAGGAAAGGAAAGGAAAGGAAAGGAAAGGAAAGGGAGAAGAAAGGGAAGAAAGAAAGGAAAAAGGAAAGGAAAAAATAAGGGAAGAAGGAAACAAAAGAAGGAAAGGGAAGAAGGAAAGGGAAGAAGAAAGGAAGAGGGGAATGGAAAAAGGAAGGATAGAAGGAAAGTAAAAAGGAAAGGAAAAAGATAAGGGAAAAGGAAAGGAAAAAGGAAAGAAAAAAGGAAAGAAAAAAGGAAGGGAAGAAGGAAAGGAAAAATTAAAGAAGGGAGGAGAGTGTGGAGGTTTTCCAGGGCTCTGTGCACACCCAGGGTGATGCTCTTTCCCACCTCCTGTCATTAATGAACACTTCTGGGTAAGGAGCCAGAGAGGGATTTGCCATCCAGCTTTTCTTCCCAGAAACCTTTAAACACCGACCTCCTACAGGAGGAACGGAGGCAGCTTCAAATCTCCTGAAAACCCAACCCACTGAACTCCCCCAGAAAGGCTGGACTGGAGGATGGGAGGTGTTTCTCCAACCCAACCAAAACTGGGATGGTTCCACATCCCTGGATGGTGGGGAATCATCTGTTGATCCAGTGAAAGCGCCAACATTTCCATTTTCCCCCCACTAATGGGAAGAAGGGAGGAAACAGAGGAGTACAAATGAGGCAGAATTCCACAGCTGAGGCATTGCCAGGCAGAATTCCACAGCTGAGGCATTGCCACTCGGGCAACAGGAATTTGCAGAGTTTCTCCTGCTTCCCCCGGGGGTTTTTGGTTTCTGAACTAATTCAGCAGCAGCAAAGCAGGGGCTGGAGGGACAAAAGGGAAACCCTGAGATGTTCTCAAAGGCACAAGATGGAAGTAGGTGGGGGGAGATCTAATGAGAGGCCTGATGGCACCTGCTGAGGGGTTTTCTGGGACACAGGTGTCCCCATCACTGGAGGTGGGATGAGCTCCCAGAGTTTCCCCTTTGTAGGGATAACTGGGAGCAGCAGCACCTCCCCAGACTGGATCTGCAACACAGACAGACCCAACACCCTCAGCCACGTGATTTTGGGACACCATCAGCACCCTCTGGCAGCTCTGAGGTGAGGCCTGGGCTGTCCTGGAGGGACTTTTTCTCCTCAGTGACTCCAGAGACTCGGGGATGACAAACTCGGGATGAGGGATCTGCACTGGGGATGTCCCAGGGGAGGTAAAAATCTCGAAGAGGGAGATCTGATGGTTCAAATCACACTGGAATGGGATTTTTTTTCAGGAGATGGAGGTACAGGACACAGGGAATGGCTTCCCACTGCCAGAGGGCAGAGTTAGGTGGGATATTGGGAAGGAATTCCTGGCTGTGAGGGTGGGGAGGGGAGGCCCAGGTTGGGCAGAGAAGCTGTGGCTGCCCCTGGATTCCTGGAAATGTCCAAGGCCAGGTTGGAGCAACCAGGGATGGTGGAAGGTATCCCTGCCCATGGCAGGGGTTGGAACTGGATGATCTTTAATGTCCTTTCCAACACAAACCATTCCATGATTCTGTGATCAGCTGCAGGATCAGGCCCTTCCTTCACCCTTCACTGCCCTGTGTTCCTGGTTCTTCCTCAGACCTTGGGAATGTCCCAGAAGCCACATCTGCAGGGAATTTAGCCAGAAAAGCACCCACTGGGCCACTCAGGTTCTATCAGGGAGGGCAACAACTTGCTCCTCTTTATTCCTGTGCTGCTGCTGAGAAGCTTGGGATGCAATTCCATGAGCCCAGAGCCTGCAGGAACGGGCTGTTTCTGGTGGTGAAGATGGGATTTAACCTCTGCTGGTCCTCACAGTGAGTCCTGGGTTTGATGTGGAAGTATGGAGATTGTGGCAGCTGATCAGGAGGCATCATCATGCTCGGGAATTAAAGCAGAGCACGGAGGTAACTCTGGTGTCCCTGTTTCCCCACCCATCCCACCAGCAGGTTTTCCAGCTCTGCTTCCCAATCTGCAGCCACAACGTGCCTCCAACAGCCTGACTGCCAGGATTCCCACTGACACATTCCCTGGGATCCCTGCTCCCACCAGAAATCATTTCCACTCCTCCTTAGGAAAAAAAAAACCCAAACACGAAGCACCATAAACATTTTCAGAGCCGATTCTGCAGCGCTTCCCTTTGGCAAAGATCTGCTGTTCCTGCAGAAATCCAACGTTTTATTGACCATGGTGAGATTCCTTCAACCCTGTCAGCACTTCAGCACCGTTTTCATGGAGATTAACGGGTGGGAAATTGTTGTTTCTGGTTCAGACGTCCCCTCTCAGCAGCTCAACACCAGCTGCAGGATTTCACTTGCGCTGTGTCTGCACTCACAGCACGATGGGAATCCTGGATCTCCCTCAGGTCCCATCTCCAGGCCTCTCCTCCAAACTCCCAGTGCTGCCCCATGCCCTGCTCTGTCATGGAATCATGGAATGGTTTGGGTTGGAAGGGACTTTAAAGCCCATCCAGTCCCGTCCCCCCTGCCAGGGACACCTTCCACTATCCCAGGTTGTTTCAAGCCCCATCCAGCCTCTTCTGGGGGCCTGGGAACATGGGAAAATCACTCCCCCTGTTCTTGCCTCACAGTTTGATGTCTGTGGTTGGAGGAGGAAGTGAGGATCAGTTTTGTTGTGTCCCCCAAAACCAGGAGATGGGATACAAGTGGGGGTCAGGCAAAGCTCCTTCCAGCTGTTTGTGGTTCTCCGGCTCCAAAATCTCTTCACCCTAAATTTAGAGTGGTTTCCAGGCTTTCCTGAAGCATCCCAGAGCAGGGGTGCTCCAACCAGCCCCACATTGATCCCACCAGGATCCAGGAGCAAGGGCAGACCCTGTGACCGTGGGAGTCCCATCAGGGAATTCCCGAGGAATCTCCTTCAAGACCAGGTCTCCTCTGAAGCCCAGCATCTCCTGTCACCCCTCACCAGCTGCTCCTGGACTGTCCCCACCAGCTTTTTGGGAGCTGACCTCGGTCAAGGGCCACCTCCAAGATCCAGGGAAAACACCTCAGACCTGCAGCGCTTTCACAGCCCAGTTCAGGTTCAACAGGCTGGAACTGCCCAAGGAATTTTCCTTTGGCTCAGCCCAGGCACTGCAGGGAAGGAAACGGCCCTGAGGAGAATCCAATCCGTCCGTGATCCCCCCCAGGTTTTGCTCCTCTTCAGCTGCTTCGCCCCTGCATGGAGGCAAACGTGATTTTGAGGAGGGAAACACGACTTTGGGGAGGAAAAACTACGACATTTGTGTCCAACCTTCAACTCCCCCTGTGTTTAGGAGCCACCTTGAACTTCACTCGCTGTTTTTATACAATTTTATCTACTTTTGTTTTGTAGAGGTTCCCCCCCCTCCAAAAAAAAATTGGCAGGAAAACATTCCATTTTCCTCTGACTGATTTTCCTGTGACTTCTTTCTTTTTTTTTTTTTTTTTAATTTGCCAAAAATAGCTCCCAGATGTTCATGGCATGAACTGAAGTGTCCCTTTCTGGCATGAACCACCACCCTCCTCCTCCTCCTCCTCCTCCTCCTCCTCCATCTCCCTCCTCCTGTGCCCGCTGAGGAGGTGGAGCAGCACCAGTGGCTCCCAGTTATTTCCACCCACTGGCTCTCGTGGTGGCATCTCCTCATTAGTGGCTCCACGTGCTCCACGTGCCCTTAATTGCTGGTGCAATTATTCCCATCCCTGTTAGATCTGGCAGTGCCTCCCTCCTCCTGGTGGCACCGGCGTGGAGCCGAATATTCCCCAAATTCCTCACAAATCTTTGCAGTCTTCACCCCCACAGGCAGCACAAGGAATTGTGTGGGTCCAGGTCCCCTTTCCTGGTGACATTGATGTCTCTCTGTGTGACAGTGACAGGACCCAGGGAATGGCTGGAGCTGTGCCAGGGCAGGGTCAGGGTGGATCTCAGGAAAAGGTTCTTCCCCCAGAGGCTGGTTGGGCACTGCCCAGGCTCCCCAGGACAGTGGGCACAGCCCCAAGGCTGCCAGAGCTCCAGGAATGTTTGGGCAACGCTCTGAAGGACAGGGTGGGATTGTTGGGGTTGTCCTGTTGGACTGGATGATCCTTGTGTGTCCCTCCAGGATATTCCATGATTCTATGATTCCAGCTTGCTCACCTGAGCCCCACCACAATTCCAACCCCACCCAGAACATCCCCCCCCGGTTCTTCCAGCTCAGCACCATCCTGGACATCCCAGCACGGACATCCTGGAGCTGCAGGTGAGATCCAAGAGGTCAGGAAAATGCATGTGTGCTTTATTCATGGATATGTTGGAATATTGACACGTACAGAAGAGAGAAGTACAAGTCTGAGCCCAGGATGGGCTGACACCCACCCACCACCCTGCCCTGGTGCAGGTGCCCACACGGGGGTTGCTGCTCCAGCACCACCTCCCAGCCCTGGATCTTCCCTCCCTGCTCACGTTCCTTCTTGGAAAACGATGTCCATGATGACATGACACGATGCCAACATGGATTTGTACACTCACAATATTTCCTGGGCTCTCAGGGCTGTCAAACTCCTGGGAACGGTGCCGAGCAGCCGAAAAAATAGAGTTTAGTGGCTACAGAAAGTCTGGCTGGTTCTTTAATTATTATTAATTTTTTTTTATTATTATTATTTTTTTTTTCCCCATGACTTTTCTTTGTGCTTATGGAAGTCCCCAGGAATGGAGTAATTCCTAAAAAAAATGGTCTCCCCTTTCTCTCTCTCTCAACATTCTCAGTCCTTTGCCTTTACAAGCAGCTTTGGGGGTTAAAGAGATTTGAAGGTGAAGATCCAAGGTTTGCTTCACAGAATTCAGCAGGGATGGGATTTCATCCCAAAAAACCACTGGCTTTTCACAGGGGAAGAGCAACGGCCTGTGCACACGTGTGCTGGTGGGTGGGAGGGGTGGAATCAGGATCACATTTCTGAGCGAGGCTCAAAAGTCTTTTTGCAAAGTTTGATTCGTGAACAGGCCTGGAGAGAGAATAGACATCAAATATAGGTGAAAAGGGGGAAATGATTGGGAAAAAGCCATGAAGGTTTGGGGATTATTGTTTAATTCCCACCTGCCTGGCTCTTTCCTGCTGGGTGAGAGGCTCTTGCTCTGTGTCCCACTCACTTTTTTCCAAAGGACAGGAGATGGGAATTGAGGGTCTCATTCAGCTGTGATGCTTAGAGACAACAAATCATAAGGAGTCTTAAAAGCAAGATATCCCTGGAAGTGTCCAAGGCCAGGTTTGGAACAACCTGGGATAGGGGAAGGTGTCCCTGCCCATGGCAGGGGGTTGGATTGAGTGATCTTTAAGGTTCCTGCCAACCCATTCCATGATTCTATGATATAAATCCAGGGGAAATGATGACACCTCTGACTGAAATAGTTAAAAATCATTTAAGATGAACCTTCCAAAAAGTGCAAACAGACCACTGGTGCTGCTGCTGTGGGACAGGGTCCTGCACTAGGTGACCTCTGGATTCTCCACACCTGTTTTCCACAGCACCAGCCTGAGAGGAGAGGTCAGGTGGGCTTTCCAATCATCCCAACCAGCCAGAAAAACTCTTCCTCCACTGGATGAGAAGGAAATGGCAAAGTGGCACTTCAGCATCACTGGAACTGAGCTGTGAGAGCCCCAGGAGTGGAGCCACGAGAGCCCCAGGAGTAGGTGGTCCTGGAGAGCAGCTGGCACTTGTGTCCCCAGCCTGCAGAGACTCAGCCTGTGCGCCTTTAAAGGCTGGTGGGGACAGGCTGGATGTGTGGAAAAGCAGGGAATGACTGCAGGACTGGGAAGGAAAGGGGCACAGGAAGGCAATTCCCAGCGTGACCTCATGGAGCTGAGGTAGTTCCTTGCCTTTGAAGGGTTGAGCATCAGAGTTTCATCCCCCTCCCACCTCAGAGGAGACGAGTTTTGCAGGGTTGGGGTCGTGTCACTTGCTCTCCCAGAGGACACTGAAGTCCTGGATGAAGGGGAGACGTTCACGGATCATTCATCAACTCCGTGCATGGATATGGCACTCGGAAAGGACTTCCCTGGAGCTCTCCCTCTCTGCCTGCTTCCCTGACCTGGGTGAGCCTCTTGGCCGTGAAGTTCTCACCTGGAAGTCTCAGCTCAGGGTGGGACTTGGCACCCTGGACACAGGCCTTGGATCTTGGAATGTTCCCACCCTGCACACAGGCCTTGGATCTTGGTATGTTCCTCTACACAGCCCTGGATTAGGAAAGCCAGGAACTTTGGACAAGGATGCACCAGGAGGATTTCTGTCCGTGTCTGTCACACCCACAGGTGTTCAGCTCCAAACGAGAGAGGTTCCACGTTGGACCAAAACCCAAGGAAGCTGCTGCAGTTCCCCAGCAAAATCTGCAGCAGGAAACAATGGGAGATGTTCTGCAGGGAATGGGAATAAAAAGCACTGGATTCTTCTGTGTCAGCTGCTGCTAAGCCTTTCCACGGATCCAAATGCTAAGGAACTAACGGTGCTCCTTGGAGGAGCACAATCCAAGGGAGAAAGGGGCTGCTGCAAATCCCAGGCCTAAATATTCCTGGAGAATCTGAGGTTATTCCTGTGCCTCCCATGGCAGCCAGCCTGGATCAACATTTATCCTGGGAAGCCATCTCACCCTTCCTTACATCCTCTTTCCTGGCTTGATGTAGGAAGGGGCTCAGCCCTCCAGGAAGGCACTGGGACTCCTCAGCTCAAGGGAAGACCTTGGAATGCTCAGGTAGTTCAAGGTCACACCAGAGCCACCCAAGACACCCCAGAGACATTTGCCCCCACCTCCCTCCAGCTCTGGCTGCAGCTCAGTCCAAAGGGTCACTTCCCTTTGTTCAGGTGACCTCTTGGCTGAAGAAACAGGACCTGGCAGGAGGAAAAGCCCTTCCCCTGCTCACCTGGACACAAGTGAGGAGAGTTCTCCAAGGAGGGGGAACCACAGCAATGCACTCCCTACCCACAGCATGATCCATGACATGGCCTTTCCTGGATATTTCTGTCCTCAGGGTGGTATCTAGAAACCTTTCCTATCTGTCTCTTCCCAGGAAAACCAATGAAATCCCCTGGCTGAAGACTGAGATTGATGGATGCACAGGCAGCACGTGAGAGTGGGTTGTGTTGGGCTCACACAGTGATCCCTGATGGAGAAAGCTCAGCTTGGAGTGGGACAACACTGGCCTCTGGTTGTTTGGATGTGACAGAAAAAAAAACCCCACCCCAAACACTTGACAGGACCAGAGGATTGGGATTCTCGGGTCGGGACACGAAAACCAGCCGGGAACAAAACGCAACACACGTGTTTCTTCCTGAACACCAGCAACATATGACACAGGTTTCCCCAAAAAGGAGGGCCCGAGGGGTGGGTGGCAGCTGGGAGATACATGCTGGTTGTACTCTGCTTTTCCAGAGGGTGGAGAATCCCTGCCAGCCAGTTCGGAGTGTGGTGACTTGCTCCGCCCCAGAGGTGCTTCAGGTTCCTCTCCGGAGAACGAACCCAACGACCTTTTCACCACTGCTCTGGTTTCTTCAGTCTGAAGCAACCAGGTGGGTTGTCCTTTGGGTCCTGAGCATCCCTGGAGACCGTCTGAGCTCCACATGGTTTGACTTGTCCTGCCAAGAGCCCCCGGGCACAAGTCAGGGCTTCAGAAAACCTCCTGACAGCTCCTCCATCCATCCAAAGTCTTTCCCCTCCTGGATGGGGCAGGCAAAAGCATTTCCTTTGCAGCTCCCACATCCTGGATCAACTCTCTCCTTCCTCTTTTTGAAGGGGACTGTCCATGGCTCCAACCCCATCCAGGGAGAACTGGAGAGACAACAACCAAGCTGTGGGGTGGGAAGGTGACCAGGACCAAGGATGAGCCGGTTGTCGACGATGCCGATTGTAGAAAATCAAATAAACTGGCAGAGGGATGAGGAGGAGGAGGGAGGGATGCCCAATCCGCACCTCTCCTTCCCATCCCCTCCCTCCTCCCGAAAAAGTTACTGCTCCGGTTGTTTTGTAAAGAAACCAACACCAAATCGAGTCTGTGCCCGGCGCGTTCCTGCCCTGCCTCACATCCTGGAGAGGCTCAGCACGGCAGGAGCGAGGAGAGGCCACATCCAGAGCGGAGAGGCTGCCCAGGGGGAAGGGGCTGCCAGGCTGGAGGTCCCTGAGGACAGACGGGTGGAGCCCCGGAGGAGCCGCTCCTCCCCTGCCACCTGCGAGGGAAAGGAAAAGCGTCAGAGGGGGGATCACGGAATCATGGAATGGTTTGAGTTGGAAGGGAGATGAAGAGTCATGTCATTCCATCCCCTCGCCATGAGAAGGGACACCTTCCACTAGCCCGGGTTGCTCCAACCTGGCCTTGGATGCTTCCAAGGGATGGGGCAGCCACAGCTTCCCTGGGAATTCCATCCCAACCCCTCAACACGCTCACAGGGAAGAATTTCTTCCCAATATCCCATCTAAAGCTACTCTCTGTCAGTTTGAAGCCGTTCCCCCTTGTCCTGTCCCTCCAGGCCCTTAGAAATACTCTCTGTCCATCTTTCTTGTCAGGCCCTTCAGACCCTGGAAGGCCACAGACAGGTCACCCCGAAGCTTCTCTTCTCCAGGCTGGACAATCCCAATTCTCCCAGCCTTTCCTCACAGCTCCATCCCTCTGATCATCTTGGTGTCCCTTCTTGGTCCCTCAGAGGATTTAGGGCCTGGGGACTGTGCAGCCCCCAGTGTGTTCCTGTGCAGAGGGGCCAGGCTTAGTCTGAGCACCCAAACTCCAGCCTGGAGGTGAGCTCAGCTCTGCGGGAGCTGCTGCTGAAGATGGGGCTGTGTTGGGGTCACCTTGTGGGCTCAGAGATGATTTGGGCACTGGCTGGAGGTGTCTTTGTGTCAGGGGGTGCCTGGGTGCCCACTCAGGTCAAGGGCTGGCCGCTGGCTTCACCTGGTGGCCTCAAAGGTGGAGAAGTCAGAGAACCATGGAATGGTTTGGCTTGGAAGGGACCTTAAATCTCATTTCTTTCCAACCCCCTGCCAAGGGCAGGGACACCTTCCACCAGCCCAGGTTGCTCCAAGCCCCGTCCAACCTGGCCTTGGACACTTCCAGGGATCCAGAGGCAGCCACAGCTTCTCTGGGCAACCTGTGCCAGGGCCTCACTTGGATTTCTCTGAGGTTTGGGGAGCACCAGCTCCAGGGAAATCCTCCGGATCTCCTGGGTTCCAAATCTATGGCCTGGCAAATGTCTCTCCCGCATTCCAGCGCCCTGGAAAGCAGCGAAGGAAACTGAGGCTGCTTTTCTCCACCTCCCCAACCCGCTGCTCTGCGAAAATGGGGCGGAGGGAGGTGAACAGGTGGTTTTCCCAGCGGAAGGAACAGCACAGAGGCTTAAAATAAGCCATGTTTGGAAGCTCCCAGGAGGTCCCGGCGGCCCAGCCCGATGCCCACGCTCGGCGCTCGGAGCCTGGTCCGAAGTGACAGCCTGTGTCACCCGTGACAGCCTGTGTCACCTGACCACTCAGCAAATCGGGGTCACCGTTAATTATTCAGTGGTGAAAGAATTCAACCTGAAAATTACTCTGGAGGGGGGCGAGTGAAGGTCATTTTGTTTCATTTAAAAGTAAAATATTGAGCGCCTCGCGCTGCCACCGGCGGCAAACGGGGCTGCTGTTTGCTTTAAATCATTTCAGTTTGATGTTATTTTGATAGTAACAATCTGCTGCTGGACTGGGACCTCTCCTCTGGAATTTTCCAGTGCAGACCATGGTTAAGCCTCTGTGTTTTGACCTCCAGGATCCTCATCTAAGGGGGGAACTGTGCCCTGGGAAGGGGAAATGATTGTCTGAAACCGCTCTGGAGGAGGCTGAGGAGCCACATCAGTGGTCCTGGCTCCCCTTCTACACTCCTGAAAAGTCCATGGATTTCCCAGTACTTCCAAAAGAAACATAGGGAAGGTTTGGGAGGGTTTGGGGAGGGAAGGTTTGGGAGGGTTTGGGAAGAGAAGGGAAGAGAAAAGTG